AGAAGGAAATACAGTTTTAGATAAATACTAAAGCCATGTTAAAGAAATAAATTTGTTCAATCTCTTTCCTCTTTGACTAAGACTATAGTGGAATTTTTTTGTAATTATTTTAAAAATATAGTTGATACGTTAAAAAATGTCACTTAAAGGGCCTCCCTGGTGGCGCAGTGGGTTGAGCACAGTGCTGTGAAGCTGTCTGCAACCTCTGCAGCACGGGTTTGATTCCCAGCCAGCCAGGGAGATACCCACATGGTGTGGCAGACCTCTCCTGCTTCGCCTGCTGCTCCCCTCAGCAGTGTTTTCTGTCTGTCTGCCTGTTCTACTCCCTGCTCTGTCTCTGGTGAATCCTCTCTCCCTCCCACACCTCTGGCCTGTATCCCAATTCTTGTATAAAAATAAAAATAAATAAATCTTTAAAATAAATAAAAATAAAAATTGTCACTTAAAATTTTTAAAGGAAAAGGAAGAAAAATGTGGAAACTAAGAAAAATAATGGGTGCCATGGTACAGGCAGAGCCTATTTTCTGATAAATAGGAGGCAGGGGGCAACCCATACAGAAACTGAGATAGATTGGGCCTTACCTGATGATGCAACGGTTGAGCGCTAGGCTGCAAAGCTGCCTGCAGCCTCTGCAGTGTCAGTTTGATCCCCGGCCGCTGGCGAGGGTCCCACGTGGCGCGCAGACCTCTCCTGGCACGACCGCTGCTCCCCTCAGCAGTACATTTCGTCGGTCTGCCTGTTCTGTTCCCCACTCTGGCTCTGGTGAATTCTCTCACCCTCCTGTGCTTCTGACTGTACCCAGTGCTTGTATAAATAAATAAATAAATCTTTAAAAAAAGAAACTGAGATAGATTTTGGTGATGTCATAAATGTAATCTCTCATATCATTAAGCACTTACACTGTGCCTGGCACTTTTTATTCATTATTTCATCTAATTTCACAACTTTTCTATGAAGTGTGAATTTCATTATTCCCACTTTACAGCTGAGAGAACAAACTTAAAAGGCCCTAAGCAAGAATTCCTAAGACCACACACACTGCTTGTAAATAGCTCCAATCTGACTTTCAGTTTACACTTTCAACAACTCTGCCTCTCTAGGTTTAAGAAAGTTCTTTGTGAGTGAGATTGATGTTCATTAAGTAGAAGTAAAGTTCATCTTTCAGTTTGTAAAATATCAGAAATTCTCTGTTCTAATTACCTCTATATCATTTATGAGGAAAGAAAACTAAGGTCCAAAGATGTTAAGTAATTTGAATCTAAGCCATTTAATCTAAAATATTCAAGTAGTACTTTCCTCTGTATTTTAAAGGCTAATATTAATTATTTTTATTACATTAATAAGTTCTCTTCAGTTTTCTCAGTTTATAAATTGTGATATTGTCACATATTTTGTAAATAAAAGTAACTCATTCTATGTAGTTAATTTATTGGGGCATTTTCAGTAGAATAGGTTTTCATTTAGTCTTTTGTATGATCCAATTGCCTATTTTTTTTTAATTTCAAAATTTATTTATTTATACAAGAACTGGGGTACAGACAAGAGGTATGGGAGGGTGAGAGAATTCACCAGAGACAGAGCGGGGAGCAGAACAGGCAGACGGACCGAAAGCACTGCTGAAGGGAGAAGCAGGCAAGTCAGGAGAGGTCTGACACGCCATGTGGGTATCTCCCTGGCTGGCCAGGGATCGAACCCCCACTGCAGAGGCTGTGGACAGCTTCACAGCTCTGTGCTCAACCCGCTGTGCTACTGGGGAGGCTGCAATTGCCTAATTTTAAAAAATATCATAAAAATTATCTAACTTTATTTCTTTAACATTTTTATATGATAACATACATTAGTACATAATAATTTAAGACTTTAATATACCCATTCTTTATTGGTTATTTTTTTATGAAATTAGGATTTTAAAGGCTGATGAGATTAGAAGGAAAATTCAAAATGGCAAAAATGCAGGAGTATAAAAGCAAGAAATAGTCTTAATGGTGATTTAACTATAGACTCTAAGGAACAAAGGAGCCTAAACTATTCCATTCTACATTAGTACATACATTGCCATTCTACATTGCCATTATGTAAGAAACTGTTGAGTAATAACCAGCCTTATTGACAGGGGACCAGTTACATATATTTTTGATAAATGTCAAGATCAAGGAAAAAAAGAAATTGAGACTGGTAGTTCATTAGAAAACAGCTCAGCTATACCAAGAAAGGACACCCTTTTAGTTAAAATTTGCAAATATATATGTGCTATGGGTAATACACTTCCAAAGTTACTCATCCTAAAGTGTCGTTTGGAAAACAATTTTTGGATAAGATTTTGATTACTCCTATTGCAAGCATCATTATAATATATCATCTACATCAAATAAGTTATAAAACCTAGAGCTTGGATGATATAATTATATGTTGAAATGTATTGTGATTATAAAGAGAAGGATCAGATCTACTTACTAAAAAATTGACTGGAAAGAACTTTCAGTTTTTCTTTAAATTATCCTTGGGCAAGGTAGATCATAACTAGGTATTAAAAGTATGTTAGGGGGACTCCTTGGTGGCGCAAGGGGTTAAGTCTCTCAGCACTATGAAGCTATCAGCAGCATGAGTTCAAACCCTGGCCAGGTGCAGCAGACCTCTCCTGTATAGTCCACTGCTCCCCTTAGCAGTTTATTTCAGTAAATCTGCCTATTTTGCTCCCTACTCTGTCTCTGGTGAGTCCTCTCACTGCTGCACTTCTGGCCTACATCCTAGTTCTTCTATGCAAAAATAAATAAAAAATAATAAATAAATGAATAAAATTATGTTAGGTAATAAGGATGTATGAGTGAATAAAACATGGTTCTACTCATAAAAGACATTGAAACTTATTAGGAGAGATAAGTAAACAAACAACTAACTGCAAAGTGCTTTGATAATGATAAATTCAGGTTTCTATGGAATCATGGAAAAGGTGCACCAAATATCAGAGTAAAGTGGAATCATTATTTTCTTGTGATAAGAATCCTCAAGCACTTAGGAAAGGTGATCAATATGATAGGCATTTAAATATTTGTTGAATTGGAAAATACCTGATTTTTTTTTAAAGTGTGAGTCCAGACTGAACTTTTATTTAAAACCATGTCTTTAAACTTAATAACAAAATGTTTTTCCTCTCAAGTACTTTACAGGTTACTATAGCAAATTCAATGAATATGTAAATTAATCAGTATCTACAGCTATTCTTGAATGTAACTGGTATTAGAGAAAAGGAAAGACTGTACGTTGGGAAGAGTTGTATTCCACAGTACTGAACACATAGTAAATGTTCAAAAATAATAATAATTACTTTGTTTAAAGCTTCAGAATTTATTCAATCATTTCTCTACCACCTCCCCCACCAAACTCTTTATAGGAAGCTCTTATTCCTAACTCTCAAGATTGTGTGAATGATAGGAGAGAACATGAAAAAGTATGGTTCTTACACATTAGAAAATACTATATTAGCCAGTAAGAACTCTGAGCAAGTAAATAAAAGTCATATTCTCAGTAAATATGAAGAAGAAATGGCTTACAAAGTTTATATGGTAGGGCCTCCCCTGGTGGCACAGCAGTTGAGCACTGGGCTGTGAAGCTGCCCACAGCCTCCTCAGCGCCAGTTTGATCCCCGCCACTGGCAAGGGTCCCTCATGGTGCGCAGACCTCTCCTGCCGCGCCGCTGCTCCCCTCAGCAGTGTACTTCGTCAGTCTATCTGTTCTGCTCCCTGCTCTGGCTCTGGTGAATTCTCTCACCCTCCTGTGCTTGTATAAATAAATCAAAAAAAAAAAAAAGCTTATATGGTAGACTAGGGATGCTTTGCATGTAATTGGATTTAAAGCTAGTTCATATAAAATATTAGAGGGCATTGCTAAATTCTGTAGTGATAACTATAATCATGAGTTCATGGATTGATTCTATAAACATTAAACCCAAACTTTGTGGTGTACCCTACATTAGGTCTAGAGATACAGGTATTTAAATACATAGTCTGGGGAATGAGCCAAGAAAACACAATTGTGGTAAAGTGGTTCAGTATTACAACAGAAACAGGAACAAAATACAAGATATATGTGTTGATTATGAAGAAAGAGTAGCTCATGGTGTAGAGAAAGCAAAAGTTGCTATTTATTAGATTAATTATATAAGCTTAATTTTAAAAAGTTAATGTGATACCATTTGTTGTGACTATGTCTTATTTGCTATATGACAAATTTTATAAGAACATATATAGTAATTTCCTATTTCGCAAGGTGATATATAAGCCACCAAAAGTCATTCCTAACATTTTATTATGAAAAATTACAAACTGAGGGCCTCCCTGGTGGCACAGCGGTTGAGCGCTGGGTTGCGAAGCTGCCCACAGCCTCTGCGGCGCCGGTTCAATCCCCAGCTGCTCCCCGGCCACCAGAGGAGGGTCCCACATGGCGCGCAGACCTCTCCTGCCGCCCGCTGCTCCCCTCAGCAGTGTACTTTGGTCCTTCTGCCTGCTCTGCTCCCCGCTCTAGTTCTGGTGAGTTCTCTCACCCTCCCGTGCTTCTGACTGTACCCAGTGTTTGTATGAATAAATAAATAAATAAATTAAAAAAAAAAAAACAGACAACTCTATTAAAAAAAAAAAGATAAAAGAAAAATTACAAACTGAGAAAAATTGAATCACTTATATTCTACAATCTTATGTTTTGCTGTATTTGTTTTGTCAATATCTCAACACCTAGCACCGAAGGCTATTTATAAGTCACGTGTTAATTGAGCATACCAAGAGCTCTTGGTTCTTATTGTGTTGTAGTATAACAATTAGAAACTATCAAAGCTAGGTAGATTTAATTCAGTGAGCAAATAGGGTATCTACTTGGTCTACTATTTGTTGGGCAAACTTAGCTAGCAGAGACAATATGTTTTAAATATATAGGTTATAAAAGTTCTCTTAAATATTAACTAGTTTGTATCAATTCAACAGCCCTTTTTCTTTTGTTTCTTATTAAGGGTCTATTGTATTTATTAGTAACAGACCAGGGGTTTCTTACTGAAGAAAAAGTTGTTTGGGAAAGCCTACACAATGTCGATGGTGATGGAAATTTCTGTGACTCAGAATTTCATCTGCGGCCACCTTCAGATCCTGAAACTGTATACAGAGGCCAACAAGATCAGATAGATCAAGTAAGTTTGTTTTGTCTTCTTTGTATTGTTTTAAATGTTCATTCCTTTCAAATGTGAATTTAAATAATCTGAAATTTTTAACTAGAGGTGTTTTTTTTGTACTGAGGTAACATTAGCTTACAATGCTGTATATGTTCCAAGATTACATTTTCTCACCATGCCCAACACCACCACCAAATATTCATTTACTATCCACTACTAACCAGTAGGCCCTTCTACCCATTTCCAGCAAGGTTTCATCTTTTTTTATATCTGAATAGTATTCTATTATGTGTATATACCACATATTCTTTTTCCATTCCTCTGTGTTGGGCACTTAGGCTGTTTCCATGTCTTTATTATTGTAAATAGTATTATAATGAGCTAAAGATCTGTTAATAGGGCCTCCCTGGTGGCGCAGGGGTTAAAGTCTCAGCACTATCAAGCTATCACCAGCCACTGTGGCATGAGTTCAATCCCCAGCTAGGGAGGTGACCTACATGGTACAGCAGACCTCTCCTGTCTTGCCCGCTGCTCCCCTCAGCAGTGTGTTTCAGTTGATCCACCTGTTCTGCTCCTCACTCTATCTCTGGTGAATCCTTTCACCCCCCATACCTCTGGCCTACACCCCAGTTCTTGTGTGCACAAATAAATAAAAATAAATCTTTAAAAAAAAAAGATCTGGTGGGCCTCCCCTGGTGGCACAGCGGTTGAGCGCTGGGCTGTGAAGCTGCCGCAGCCTCTGCAGCACCAGTTCGATCCCCAGCCACTGGCGAGGGTCTCACATGGCACGACAGACCTCTCCTGCCGTGCCTGCTGCTCCCCTCAGCAGTGTATTTCGTCAGTCTGCCTGTTCTGTTCCCCGCTCTGGCTCTGGTGAATTCTCTCATCCTCCCAAGCTTCTGACTGTACCCAGTGCTTGTATAAATAAATAAATAAATCTTTAAAAAAAAAAAAAAAGATCTGTTAATATACTTGTGAAATTTCCTGACCCTATCTAAATAGATCATTCTACATGTATATTTTTACATCTTTGTTCAGAAGGCCAGATCACATTGATCTACAAAGGTCATGGTAAGCAGTTTGAATTTTAATTGTGTTTAGAAATTCTAATTTGAAAGGAATTGCAAGATGCTATGCCAAGTACTAAACATGAAGGGGACACCATCTGTTTTACTTAGTAAAAAAATTGTCATATATGAAGAATGCATTAGAAAGACACAAATATGAGCAATCCCAGCAAGAGATGACAATTCCTTAACATTGGCTTAGCTCTGCTTTATCATAGAGCACATATTTGAGATACACTTTTGCTAGTAAGAAAAAGTAGAAAAGAAGTTATCTTGAAGATAGTATGCACTAAATAAAAAGTAAGTGGCTATTCTAAGCATTAAAGTCTAAGGTAAGGAGGAATATGTACCTACAGCAGAAGTTGCAATAGTGAATAGAATTTTCATTTAGAACTTAGACAAATAAGATTTTTGCCTGCTATCATTGGACAGTCTTGGAGCCACAAATATGTTTATTACAAGATAACAATGATGTTACTTCTTCTGTGACTGAGGCAAAAATATATTTACATTAAACAGCACATGTTTTGCTGGTAACATTTTAAGTTTATAGAAGCTATCTTCATTTAGCCAATATTTTTTTAGCAGTTTTACTCCTGCATTATTACTAGGTCCTAATGATACAAAGATAAACCATTCCATCCTATCCTCAAAGATTCTGCAGCCTAGCAGGGGAGGCAGATGTTTGACCAACTGATATTTTATGTTAAGTTCTATAGTGACAAGCTATGATTGAACATAAGAATATCTGATTAAAACAATATTAATCTTTCTAGAACTTTTGACTTTGATTCAAGAACAGTCATAAAAGTCATCATTCTCATTTTTCTTCAGAAGCTATACAAGGGAATTGATTTTTTTAAATATTTAAAAGAAATGGGGCCTTCCTGGTGGCGCAAGGGGTTAAGCACTGTACTATGAAGCAATCCACAGCCTCTGCAGCATGAGTTCAATCCCAGGCCGGCCAGGGAGCAACCCACATGGAGCAACAGACCTCTCCTCCATCGCCTACTGCTCCCCTCAGCAGTTTACTTTGATCAATCTGCCTGTTCTGTTCCCCACTCTGTCTCTGGTGTATCCTCTCACCCCCTCGCATCTCTGGCCTGTACCCTAGCTCCTGTAAGCATAAATAAATAAATCTTTAAAAAAAAAAAAAGAAATGTTCAGAATTTTTCTAGACGCTATAGGTAAAAATATTGGAGCAGAGGGAATAAAGGTGAAGCAATAGACTGCCACAGTAGTCCATTGTAAGGTGTTAATATCATATATGATAGGATCATAAAGGTGATAAAATATATATAATAGTGGAAGTAGCAATGAAGAAGCGAATTTGAGACAATGGGACTTGTTTACCTCAGGACTGTAGGACTTAGAGGGGCAATATAATATTAAAAATGTTTTATAAATTTGTTTCAAGTTACAAAAAATAAAGACCATGGAACTTGGCAAATAGCAGAGTTTGAAGAATTAAGGAAAAAAATTCAAAGGACAAATTCTTGCTGTCAGTAAAATAGTTGTGGTATCTAGTACTAGGTGTTCACAGTCAACAATCTTTTATATAGCCTCTGAGGTTATTTAAAATTCCCTTTTTTTAAATTTTGAAAATAGATGGGGGGGTGTAAAGGGTAGTCAAATTATTTTATTAATAAAAGTGGTTATTTTTGTTTGTTTATTTGTTTTTTAAGATTTTATTTATTTATTTATTCATTCATTCATTCATTCATTCATGCACTGGGTACAGTCAGAAGCGCGGGAGGGTGAGAGAATTCACCAGAGCCAGAGTGGGGAGCAGAGCAGGCAGAAGGACCGAAGTACACTGCTGAGGGGAGCAGCGGGCGGCAGGAGAGGTCTGCGCGCCATGTGGGACCCTCCTCCGGTGGCTGGGGAGCAGCCGGGGATCGAACCGGCGCTGCAGAGGCTGCGGGCAGCTTCGCAACCCAGCGCTCAACCGCTGCGCCACAGGGGAGGCCCAGTTGTTAATTTAATATAGCTTTTGACCAAAGGTGCATCATTCTTTCTAACAGGAAATAATCTGGGGGTTTGAGTGGGTGGGAGGGGATGTAAGATAATTTGATATAACTTTTAAAGTCAATTAGGTTGGCTTTAAAAATCATGTTGGAGGGCCTCCCCGGTGGCGCAGCGGTTGAGCGCTGGGTTGCGAAGCTGCCCGCGGCCTCTGCGGCGCCGGTTCGATCCCCGGCTGCTCCCCGGTCACCGGAGGAGGGTCCCACATGGCGCGCAGACCTCTCCTGCCGCCCGCTGCTCCCCTCAGCAGTGTACTTCGGTCCCTCTGCTTGCTCTGCTCCCCGCTCTGGCTCTGGTGAATTCTCTCACCCTCCCGCGCTTCTGACTGTACCCAGTGCATGTACAAACAAAACAAACAAACAAATAAATAAATAAAACATGCCTCTATTTAAAAAAAAAATAAATAAATAAAAATCATGTTGGAGAGGGTCTCCCTGGTGGCGTAAAGGGTTAAGTCTCAACAGTGTGAAGCTATTGCCAGTCACTGCAGCATGAGTTGGATCCATTCCCCAGCCAGGGAGCTACCCACATGGCGCAGCAGACCTCTCCTGTCTTGCCTGCTGCTTCTCTCAGCAGTGTATTTTAGAAGATGCACCTGTTCTGCCCCCCAATCTGTCTCACCCCCCCCATACCTCTGGCATACACCACAGTTCTTGTATGCATAAATAAATCAATCTTTTAAAAAAATTTTTTTTCAAAGCTTTATAGGTATAACCTCTATAACTAATAGTTCTTGGGTAAATCTCATGGCTAAAATTGTTTATAATTTAATTTCTTAGGATTATCTTATGGCATTATCTCTACAACAAGAACAACAGAGCCAAGAAATAAATTGGGAACAAATCCCTGAAGGAATCAGTGATTTGGAACTAGCAAAGAAACTCCAAGAAGAAGAGGATAGACGGGCTTCTCAATATTATCAAGAACAGGAACAAGCAGCAGTAGCTGCAGCTTCTGCTTCTACACAGGCCCAGGTAAAAATAAGTGTTCTCATTCTTAAATACAAAAATCACTTCAGCAATAAAGAAATCTGTGCTGATGAGTTCAGTCCCCAGCCAGGGGGTGACCCACATGGCACAGTGGACCACTCCTGACTCGCCCACTGCTCCTCTCAGCAGTGTATTTCAGTAGCTCTGCCTGTTCTGTTCCTTACTCTGTATCTGGTGAATTCTCTCACCCCCTGCATCTCTGGTCTGTACCCCAGTTCTTGTATGCATAGATAAATAAATCTTTTTTTTAAAAAATTTTAATTATTTAAAAAAAAAGAAATCTGTTCTGAGATCAAATTTTTTTAATTAATTACTAACTCTTCAGTTATCTTAGCATTTTAGCACCTATTGGGTTTTATGATATTGTCTTAAATTTCTCATTTAGTGAACTTACTTTTCCTGAACTTCTGATGGCAGTATTTTTCAAATTTATTTTTAAGTTCTTAACTACCAAGAAAATAAACCAATTTGAGCAAGGTTTTTTTCTGTCAACTAGAGGGCAGTATGAGGTACTACTGGGATGAATGTAGACTGGAGCCAGATAGACTTGGATTTGCATTTCTATCTTCCCTCAATAGTTGCAACACCTTGGACATAGACCTCTACCTCTCTTAGCCTCATTTTTCCTTTCTGTGAAATAGAAAATAACACTTAACTCTTTTGTTTGTGGTTAAGATAAATAATGTTAGCACTTACTGTCTGATAAGTACAAAGTATTTAACTTTTCCATTTTTCACTTGCCTTAGTTAAAGGTTTTAAGCATTGAAGATAGGGCCATTATGTAGTAGACTTCTATATGATAAATCTCGTTTCATTAAATAAAAAATAATTCCCCTATTTTATGTTTAACCATACCATGCCAGAACTCTTTCTTTGATTTAGGTAGTCAAGAAAAGAAGATGCCTTTAAGGTCTTATGAAGCTTTATATAGAGATATTCACTAAAATAAGTGTAATATTTCTAGTTCTTGTTCAAATATTTCTATTTCTAGCTCTGTCTTTTAAGTTAAAACCTACCATACTTTGGTTTTTCACTGAAAAAAGTTCCTTATATAACAGAATACATATATTCCACTTGCTCAGTTCTCAGGACATTTTCTCCTTTTAAAATATTTAATATAGGGCCTCCCGGGTGGCATAGGGGTTAAAGTCTCAGCACTATCAAACTATCTCCAGCCACTGAGCATGAATTCTGATCCCCTGGCCAGGGAGCTAACCCACATAGCACAGCAGACCTCTCTTTCTTGTCCTCTGCTCCCCTCAGCAGTATATTTCAGTACATCTGCCTGTTCTGTTCCCTACTCTGTCACTGATGAATCCTCTCACCCCCACATCTCTGGCCTACACCTCAGTTCTTGTATGCATAAATCAATAAAATAAATCTTTTTAAAAAATAAATGTTTAAGGGCCCCCCCTTTGGTGCAGCGGTTGAGCAGTGGGTTGTGAAGCTGCCCACAGCCTCTATAGTACCGGTTCGATCCCCGGCCACCAGGCTAGGGTCCCACATGGCTCGCAGACCTCTCCTGCCTCCCGCTGCTCCCCTCAGCAGTGTACTTCGTCATTCTGCCTGTTCTGTTCCCTGCTCTGGCCCTGGTGAATTCTCTCACCCTCCTGCACTTCTGACTGTACCCAGTGCTTGTATAAATAAATAAATAAATCTTTAAAACAATAAAAATAAATGTTTAATATGGTATTTAATGAGGTGATGAAAACTGTTGTAGTTTACCAAAAGGTGTCACTTTCTTCAACATTTTCTAAATTTTTGCATACATGTTTCTTGAATAATCTTAGTTATTTATGTTTGAAATTCCATCTGCTTGGAAAATGGATATGTTAATTTAACCTCTCCAGAATGATAGAGGCAATTACTTGAAAAATAACAAGTCTATACACCAATAACTTCTTTTTGCATTAATGCCTTTCACTTTTATAGTTTTTTTAATCTAGATAACTGATTTAATATCTTAAGGGTAGTTGAGTTAATTTCTTCCTGTTATTTTTCATAAAACAGAGCCAGCCAGCACAAGCCTCTCCATCAAATGGAAGACAATCTGGAAATAGTGACCGTAAACGAAAAGAACCTCGAGAAAAAGATAAAGAAAAAGAAAAGGAAAAAAATAGCTGTGTCATTTTGTAAGAAGTGGTAGATTCTGTTCAAACCATCTATATGTCTCAAGAAACAGAACCACAGGAGGAAAGGAAGAAAAACCGATAAATACCGTCTGTGCCTGATTCCCCAATGGATTTTGTTAATGTTTTTCAGGGTAAAGGTTGTTACTTAGTTACAATCAGACTTTTTCAAGTCACACAGTACTCTTTATGAGCTGGCATTTCATGTTACAAGTTGGAAATGCTGTGTGTTGTCTCATGAAAAATACTGCACTTGTAGCCAAATAAGCAAATCACAGCAAATTTGTGTCATAGTGACATTCATAACTCATATCAGTTAGTAAGCTATTTTATCTTCTGTTCAAATGATGAATGGAGATAATTGATTTTGTCTGATTCCTTCCTGAAACCTAAATATTAGCACAATAATTTTTGAAATGACTTTTTACAATGTTAAATTATGATCTAATCCATGAAAAACCAGGGGTTTAATATAGAAATTTAATAAGAAAAAAACAAAAAAATAACAGGAATAAATAACCCTTTATTGTATATTGGACTAGTTCAGCCCTTGAACAGCTTTACCTTTCTTTAGGAATGTACATTTTAGATATTATCTTGAAAAATGATAAAGGAACTTGGATGTAATTTAGTTAGAAAAAAATAAAGATTTGTATTTCTTTTCCAATAGCAAAAAATTACATAATACTAGTACTAATATCCTATCAAAACCAGATATTAATGACTTTGTAGTATTGTGAAATTTTGAAGAATTTTGAAATCTTTAATATAGGTAACCTGGACCACAGTTACTATTTATTAACAATGCGATGAGTGTAAAGAGGAAACCACAGTGGATGCTAGGTTTTGTAAATATGGGAATATAGAAAAACAGATAGTTCATCGTCTACCTTTTTCTAGAATTTCCTTGAACTTTAAAATTTAGATCATGTTTATTTGCTAGAAAATTAAGTATATTGTTAAAATCAACAAAAAGCACATTCTGAAAGGGAGTTAGATAATTTCTGAGTCTAGTGAAAAAGCACTAATAAAACTGTGTGAAATAGATAAGAATTTTGAGAAATTTATGTAAAAGCAATCAGATTTTTTAATTTTTGAGAACCAAATAAACCTAAAGCATCTTTTAGTGTTTATAGGATTCAGAAAGAATATTTATTGAACTTTATTATGAGGCAACACATATTTTCCTGTATTTCTAGATATAGTTTGGAAAACTATCCTTGATAGTCCTTTTTATATGTTTTATATTTAAAAATTTGTTTTACTCATTTTGAAGAGACTATTGCTGCTGCAAGTAGATACGTACTTTACATCCTAAGCCTCGGTAAATATGTTTGTCTAAGATCATCTTAATCTAACCTGAGCATCCACTTGGAGAATGTTTTTTGTGGGCTGGGGTGACAATAGACTACAAAATCAAAGTGGTCTAGATTTCTTAAGCTATGTCTTTAACATTTTCTGATCCAAAACCAGTGGTAGGTTGAGTCTACCTGTAAAAAGCAGTCTTATTTATAGAAGGAATTACTCTAAGGAAAAATCCAGGGTCAAGCTCTGTGTTTTATGTCCTGTATTGCATGTTTGTTTATGTTATACAATGTGTTATTCCTTCAAATTTCCTATGCTAGCATGATAAATCATCAAACAACTTGTTTGGAGTATAAACTTTGATACAAAATAATTGGTGAAACTCTTGATAACCTAAAATATGCATACATTGGTCAAGTAATCAGAAGTATTACAGAATTCCTGTTGGCTCAAACAAGTTGACCTTATTCCAAGTTTACTCTTGATAAACACTGTATTGGTTGAAGGAGGAAACTCAGACCTTAAGGTTTGTTTGTCCCAGAGCAGATAGTGACCGTACATTACATTTTAATTAAAATATATATATTATATATATCTTGAGCAGTTTAAGAAATCATATTTGAGGCATATATTCCATATTTACATACTTATTATTTATTGCCCTTGAAAACTATATGTGTAGAAATTATTGTTTTGTTACTTGTTACTGTTTTCTTAATTTGTTCCAAAGATAATACTGCCGTTCTACATTCCCTTTGGAAGAAAAAAAAATTACTCAAAACCAGCAATGCTGCTATCAGATAAGTAGATATCAATGTATACTTATAGGAGATAACTAAAAATGTAATATGTTTGTTAATTCAATCTTTTCTGTATAATATTTCAAAGTCAGACTTTCTTACATTCCTGGAATTCAGTTTCATATACAAAGAACAATAATAAAATGTTTGCTTTGATTACTGTGGGGGAAAAATTAAATGTTTAATTCTATTAAAACAAGTTTCTCAGAGATACTAGTTTCCCATCCTTGAAGGTTATAAAGAATTCAGAGCTAGTGTGTCTTTATTTTCTTAAATTTTGTGAAGTTACAAATTATATATTCAGACATTTCTTTGCTGGTTTGGGTACATTGGAACTTGACAGTGGTATAGTAAAGTCTTTCTTCACAGTATTTTGTAATACTTACATATATATTGTTATATATATACTGCTATCAGAAATTAAAATTTAATGATTTTTTGTTTTTAATATTTGTAAATTAGATTAGGGGCACATTTGCATCAACTAATTGTTAGAACTAGTAAAAGAGGCACATGAATGAATAGATATGGTCACTGTACTTTCTTGTTCTTTTAAAATTTACTCCTTAGTTGCCATTCTTACTATTAACAATGTGAAAATTTTCTTCATGTCTAATCCCATTTAATCAACAATTCTGTGATTTATAAATGATCAACACTTTTGTTTTTATGTTTCTGAAGCAGGGACCCATGACATCTATTAGATTCTCAAAGGAATTTGGGAAATTTCTCTCAAATTTAAGAATCACCATTTTGAGAATACGCAGACTCATATATAGACTAAGAAGTTTGAGGCAGCTAAAATTGGCTTTGACTACTTCCTATAATATGCTGGTCTAAAGTGCTTAGGTAAAGTAATTTCTTCCATGTTTCAAAGTGTCAGTTAGGATTAGAGTTTGGAATATATGTTGTTTTATTGTCTCAGATTTCTGATTTTTAACTCCTTATCCCATATTGTGTTTCTAATTCTTCCTCATACTTCTTGATCTTAGCTTAATGAAACAAGTTAGTAGCAGAGATTAAGTTGCCTAAGCACATTAGCCATTTTGTAATTGTACAGAAAGTTAGCATTTTGTTTTCAGTGAATCACTGATTCAGTTCACTAAGATACAAAAGATCTTGAAAGGAAAGAGGATTAGAAGTAAAATGAAAATTTAAAATATCAATAACATGGGGTCCCTATATTAATATTGGTATAAAGCAGATCTTTAAAATCCTAGAGAAAAATCAAGGCAAGAATTTACAGAACTGTCCTCGAGCAATCTCATTTATTAAAAAAAAAAGTTAAACTGGTTACATTTTACTTTTCTATGCAATGTACCAGTTATTCTAGAATATGACAGAAGGTTTGTGTGCTTTGCCTGTCGCACAATACTTGAGCATACAATTTGAAGTATACTTGTAAATAATTATAGTTAAAATACAATTGTAAAGTTGCTAATGTTTGACAAAATAAGAGTCATTAAAGATAGTGTGTAATTTGTATTTTAAGGAACTGGAAATGTGAGATTTTGATTCATTTTATGTGTAAAAGTCTGACTTTTGCTATGAGTAAACATTCTGTGCCTCAATTTACTCTAACTTTGTAAAGGATGCTCTTTTTTCTTTCTTTTTTTAGCACTTTGCTCCTGAGTAAAGGGCATAGTATAAACACACAGTATTGCTTAAATAATCATAAATATCACACCTTTTGTTCTTGTATGTGTACTTTTCACCCAATGGCAATATTTCTTAAGTCAGGTTTTTAAATGCTGTCAACATTGGCGACATTATCTTGTATCATCATCTCGTCCCTAAATGTATTTCACAGTTGTTTTTGTGTCCTGTGGACTATGGGTCAAAATCAAGAGATTTGGGTACTATAAAAAGCATTTTAACATCTGTGTTTTCCAGTATTTTTTATAAATCTCTATATGTTAGGTTCTCTTTGCTTTTTCCTCCATGGAATAAAGGACAATGGAATCAGTTTATAATATATATAAAGTTGTTTTGCATGGATGGAATTCATTTAGATCTCTCACGTACTATCATTTTTAGGGCTATTTAAATTCTATTTTAAGTGGAAAATGTTATTTGATAATGTGCGGTTAAATTCCTTTTAAAAAATGACAAAATTTAAAGAAACTCAGAGTTTAGTCTCTTTTTGTACTGATGTTCAACATTTCTAAAGCTGTTGGGAAATTTTATGAAGAATTGAGGTTACTCTTCTCAAATAATTTAAAGCAAACTAAAATTTGATCTCCAAGACTTTCTGAACAACATAAATTGCAAAATAGAGATAATGGAATCTGAGGTACAAATAAGTTGCAGGACCTTGGTAAGTTTAGTTTACTTTGAAAGTCTATTAAATTTTAATTCTTGTGTGTTACTTAATTACAGCTTCCTGCAATTAGAAATTAGTTTAATAAATTGTGATATGCATATATATTTTTACATGATGGATTCTAGTTTCTAATTTCACCTTTCTGATCTCAAAAAAATTGAACTCAAACAGGGTAAAAGTCTTCAACTATTGCCTCAAAGTTCAGTTTTGCCCTATTGTCCTAAGAATAGAGGAGGTTTAAATGTGTCTCACTCTAACCGATATTTTTCAGGGCATGGTAATATCCCAGTTAAGGTGTTGAAAATCATGGCAGAAATACAAAAGCTAAGCTTTAAGCGACAGTAGATTTAAAGAACAAAATGTTATATTATTCTACAAGTCTCTCTACTTTGTTTATATTCTGGGAATTTCTTCAAATCACTTAATTTGTCACAACTTCACAAACTACAATTTTTACTGTAATACTCTGCTTTGAGAAACAGGAATGTCTCCTAGATTAGATTGCACAAAGCAAAATTCTTCTGAAAGTGATCCTGGTTTCTTTGGCTCCAATAGTTACAGCCTTAAATAGGAAGTCAAAAAACTGAAACCCCCATTTAAATTCCCAACTCAGTGACTGTTTAGATGGGCATTATAACTAAAATACCTTACAGAACAGTTTTACCTAATGGGATGCATTTAAGAATAAGGTAGGCATTTAATCTTTAAAGATCAATCCCATGTCTCTCAATTTTGTGAGTTTTTCTTCTTTTTTACATCTTAGTTGTAAGATGTAGTTTTTCCCCAGAGTGTACAGGCTCTTAGTTTTGTAGAATTTTAAGCTAAGGATTTGAAAAGCATCCACTGGTTATCAAAAGCTTACCTTCTTCAATAAAATGACAACTATTGTTTTCACAGATCCATCAGTCACAAGTAGGACATTATGATTAGAAGATTGATGTATGACTGCTACACAACAGTCAGCAAGTGGGATAATCTTCACTTATGAAACTTCAGAGGTACCCTGGAAGTCATTTCCTAAAGTTAGTACAAGTGAGACTTTTTCCTTGAATGATGCAGGATAATTGTATTGATTGAAGCTTATATTTGGGGTAGTAGCAGGTAAAATGGTGTGATGAACTGCAGAGGGTGATTTTGAAATATAGTAAGAGGAAAGAAGTTTTCTTTCTCCACTTCAGGACTATTTGGGTCAAGAAGTTGCTATGACATTATAGATCTCTTTGTGCCATGCCAAGACTGGCCAATTAACATAGAATTCACAAAGACTTTAAGTGTATGACATATATGAGTGCCTGTTTTTCTTCTATCCTTTACTGTTGTAATGCCCTTTCCACTTCTGGAATAATCTGTTTGGATTTCTGATCAACTTTAATTCCAGTTTAAGAATTATAGCAGCCCTAGAGATTAATAAAAAAAAACACTGAGATAGGTTTTTTTAATAAAGATATCTAAAAGCATTTACCCAATTTAGGATTGAACTGAATTTCTATGAAAGAAAGTTACTGTTTTAAATGCTAATTGTGCTCATACTATTTAATTCTAAAAACTGTGTCTTATGTTTCAAAAGTTTCACTTTTGTAGAATAACCCTTTAAGAGGCATATTTAACATAGATGGGAAGTACAAAATATTTGACAGAATTATTCAGTATTATTCAACATTTAATTTTGCATTTGTTATTGTATCATGAGGATAGTGTCATTCTTGGATTAAAATGTTGGATTTTTGTAAATATACTCAAAACTGTAACCAGTGATAACACCCTTAGTATTTTTTATTATAGATTATATTTTATTTCAATAAACTTTGATATTTAGACCACACAGCCTTTCTGTTATGTGTATTCATCTCATTAAACTAATTTGTACAATTTTAAGATGAGTAAGAAAATGAAAAATTGATACATTGATTTATATTTCCCTAGGATTAATGCTTTAAATACCTGGACCAACTCTTTTTTTTTTTTTTTTTAATAGAGGCATGTTTTATTTATTTATTTATTTACTTGTTTGTTTTGTTTATACAAGCACTGGGTACAGTCAGAAGCGCGGGAGGGTGAGAGAATTCACCAGAGCCAGAGCGGGGAGCAGAGCAGGCAGAAGGACCGAAGTACACTGCTGAGGGGAGCAGCGGGCGGCAGGAGAGGTCTGCGCGCCATGTGGGACCCTCCTCCAGTGGCCGGGGAGCAGCCGGGGATCGAGCTGGCGCTGCAGAGGCTGCGGGCAGCTTCGAAACCCAGCGCTCAACCGCTGCGCCACCGGGGAGGCCCCCTGGACCAACTCTTGATAAAGATTCTTGCCACTCCCATCCCAGTGCATCCCAGAGGCAGTGAACATGAAATAACCCAAAGCCATAGAAACAGTTAACTACCTGATTCCTGTGGTAGATTTGTTATCTCTGATATTTCTATTCAGTTGGAAAACTAAAAAGAGCTGAGAAGGGGTCATTTCTTTTTATTTATTTATTTGTTTGTTTGTTTATTTATTTATACAAGCACTGGATACAGTCAGAATCGCAGGAGGGTGAGAGAATTCACCAGAGCCAGAGCAGGTTGCAGAACAGGCGGACTGATGAAATACACTGGTGAGGGGAGCAGCGAGCATGGCAGGAGAGGTCTGTAGCGCCATGTGGGAACCTCACCGGAGGCCAGGGATTAAACCAGCACTACAGAGGCTGCAGGCAGCTATGCAGCCCAGCGCTCAACTGCTGCGCCACCAGGGGAGGCCCAGGGGTAATTTCTTTTTTAAATCAAATCCCAATGTAAAGTTTTTGTCCACAATTTGCTATACAAAACAGCTAATATCAGACTTTTCCCTGTGAAAACTATTAGACTCCCCACAGCCCTCTATGCAAAATTAATCATTGCACATAGTGTTTTGCTGACCTCCCTTCATTATAGACTTTAAGATAGATTGTGAGTCTATTAGGGCAGGGATCATATTTTATTCATCTTTATTTTCTTGGCACATAATGTGATCATTGGTTCTTTAAATGAATTTGAATATTTAGAGGAATTTTTTTAAATACCCATATTATATAGCTATTGATGTTCTTCCTTAAAATTTAAGTTAGGTATGTAAGTTATATAGATAGAGGGAACTAAAATCCTTAATCTTACCCTTCCCCCATTTTCCCTGGGTATCATATCATCTTACATCCTCCTAGAGCCAGTGGGAGGATGCTTGGAAAACAGTCTCAAAAAAATTATAGTAAACAGTATTGTTCTCCCTCCATTTCTAACCCTTCTTGCAGGGTCTGTTTCCATACTTTGTTACTATAAAGTAGTGAAGTTGGCACCTATTAATTTGTTTGTGATGAAATATGAAGCCAAACAACCTGACTCCAAGAGCCTACGCTCACAAATATACCTGGAAGGGGAAAGGTAAGTTAAGACCAGATCTGTGTTCAGTTTTTAACTCTAGACTTTTAATGTCACTTCTGTCTCAAAATCTTCAAAATCAAGTCGATTGCCATGTTTGTATTTTTGATCTTAGAGCAATTTTATCCTGCACTGCCTGTTTTTTCATCTCTAGAATGGAATTAATAATTTCTATCTCTTAAAATTGTAAGGATTAGAGATAATACACATAAAGCATTATATGAAATAAGCATTCAATAAATTATAGGATTATTAATAACTGACTAGAGACTTACTGCAAATGAAAAAAAACTTTAAGATTAAAAGACCAATTAATCCTTAGACAGGCATTTTCCTATTACCTCTAATTATAACACTGATACAATTATGATGGCTAACATCTACCTATTCTCAGAATAGCCCAGAGTAAAATATATTAGAAAAAAACTTTAGAATATATAGTATAATAATCATGTATGCTAGATATAACTGGATATTGTGGCACACTCTCCTTGGAGAATATTGTGAGAGTATCAGAGTGAGGCTGGAGGCACAGGGGTGAAAGAATTCACCAGAGACAAAATGGAGAACAGAAAAGACAGATTTATTGAAATACACGGCTAAGAGAAGCAGTGGGTGACACAGGAAAGCTCTACTGCACAGAGAGTGAGGATCCTGAGGCACTATACTGCAGGCATCATTGATGGGATAGTGTGACTAGTCTTGGGTGTGCCCTAAGGATCTGGATCATCAACTTCATGGCCCAGATCCCATTAGCAATGCTGTATATTCCCCTGGTCCATTTAAACCTCCCCAAATTGTTTGCTGGGCAAGGAGTGTGGGCTTAGTTTTTAATTTTAATAATGATACCACAACAGAGATTATATTATTCATCAAGACTAAAATATACCAAGAAAGAAAATTAATTTTTACTCAAAGGAAAGCAGTGGCAAAAGTTAGCAGAGCAAGAGAACTACTGTGAAGGGACTCTGTAATCAACCCTGTCACAAATCAACAGAAATCACTGTCTGGAAGCCTAGAACCTCCTCTCCTGAAGTGACATGTAGATGTCCAACCAAACAGTATTTCCTTATAGTAAAATCTTATATCTCATAATTTTTGCTGTTCTCACACAAACAGATTTAAAATATGCAGATTAGGGGGCCTTCCTGGTGGCCTAGGGTTAAATCTCAGTGCTATCACCCTTACAGCCTGAGTTCAATCCCCAGCCAGGTTGCTGACCCACATATGGCGCAGCACCTCTCCTGTCTCACTCACTGCTCCCCTTAGCAGTGTATTTCTGTAAATCCCTGCTCCTCACTCTGTCTCTGGTGAATCCTCTCACCCCTCTGGCTTACACCCCAGTTCTTCTATGCAAAAATAATAAAAAGCTTTAAAAAAGAATAAAATATACAGAATACCCTGTCTGGAAATTAACATATACTGCCCCAAAATACCCAAACCCCAATGAATTCTTCTGCCATATTCTGGTCTCAAATGTAACTCTATTTTTTTCTGAGAAAACACTGCCTATCTCAACATTTTATAAAACCAAGACCTAGGGCCTCCCTGGTCATGTAAGGGGTTAAGCACAGCACTGTGAAGCAATACGCAGCTTCTGCAGCACAAGTTCGATCCCCGGCGAGAAACCCAGAGAGAAACCCCCAGAGAGAAACCCACATGGCGAAGCAGACCTCTCCTGTCTCGCCCACTGCTCCCCTCAGCAGTATATTTCGGTCAGTTTGCCTATTCTGTTCCTCACTCTGTCTCTGGTGAATCCTCTCACCCCTTGCATCTCTGGCCTGTGCCCCAGCTCTTGTATGCATAAATAAATAAATCTTTATAAAAAATAAAATCAAACCAAGTTCTACCTGGAATGGGGGATGGAGAGTGGGAGAAATAACTGATCAGGACCCCTCTCCCAGTCTCTTCTGGTTTCAAATCATTACTTTGATTATCTAATAAACCCCTATCTATAATTGAGACTTTATCCAGTTAACATAGGATACCCAGGAAACTAGACTATATTTGGACAGTCAGTAATCTGGATTTAAAACTATAACGTTAAATTTTATATTTTTAAAGATTTATTTATTTATGCATACAAGAACTAGGGTACAGGCCAGAGGTGTTGGGGTGAGAAAATTCACCATAGACAGAATGGGGAAGAGAATAGGCAGATTGACTGAAGTACACTGCTGAGGGGAGCAGCAGACGAGTTAGGAGAGGTCTGCTGCACCATGTGGGTTGCTCCCTTGCTGGCATGGGATCGAACTCATGCTGCAGTGGCTGCAGACAGCTTCATAGGTTGCGTCTTAACCCCCTGCACCACCAGGGAGGCCCCACCAAAACAGTTTTGAAAAACATAAGTAACAACATTGGAGGAGTTACCTGATTTCAAGACTTAATGTAAAGCCACAATAATCAATAGTGTGGTACTGGTGAAAACATATAGATATATCAATATATAGATCAATGGAACAGAATAGTGTCCAGAAGCAGATTCACACATATAGGGTAGCTTGGTTTTTTTCAACAGTGGTGCTAAGATAATTTATGGGGAAATAATAAGTTTTTTCAACAAATTATGCTGGAAAAACTGTATAGCTAAATCTAAAAGCTAAGCTAAAATTATAGAAGTTCTAAAAACAAAAATAAATCCCAGGAATCGAAGGAAAAAACTGAAATTACCAGAAGGGGAGGTTAAGAGCAGGAGAGCAAGGGAGGAAGGGGCTCAGTGGAATATGGTGGAGGAATATAGATGTTTTAGAGGTGGACATGGGATGGTAACATACATCTGACAAGGTATGAACATATACCCTCAAATTACATACAACATTGAAAACCACTGTTACCTCAAAAAAAAAAAAAAAAAAACCTTACATACAAGTTCTAGAAGAAAACACAAAAGAACGTATGTAATCTTGAAGTAGACAAAGATATTTTAAGACAAGAAGATATCCTTGAGTCTTGAAAGAAAATATTGATAAACTGTATCAAAATTAAAAAACCCACTTTTTAGGGCCTCCCTGGTGGCACAAGGGGTTGATACGCAACCTATGATGTTCTCTGCAACCACTGCAGCACGAGTTCGATCCCCGGCTGGCCAGGGAGCAACCCACATGGCACAGCAGACCTCTCCTGTCTTACCCGCTGCTCCCCTCAGCAGTGTACTTTGGTCAATCTGCCTGTTCTGTTCCCCACACTCTCTGGTGAATCCTCTCACCCTCTGCACCTCTGGCCTGTGCCCCAACTCTTGCATGCATAAATAAATAAATCTTTGAAAAAAAAACACCTACTTTTTAAAAGATAATACTAAGAAAATGAAAAGACAGGTTCACATGCAGGAGAAAATATTTTCAATTCATTGATATATGGATCATATATTAGAGGATCATCTGCATCATTAATACAGAAAGTGTTCTCATGACTCAATATTAAGACGACTAAAACCAAAATTAATGGGGTAAATATATGAACAGAAAATTCACAAAGATATACTAGTAATCAGTAAGTATATGAGTGCCTCCCTGGTGCCTCAAGGGGTTATGCTCAGCACTATGAAGCTATCCACAGGCTCTGCAGCACACGAGTTCAATCCCTGCCTGCTGCTCTTTTCAGCAGAGTATCTCAGTCAGTCTGCTTGTTATGCTCCCCACTCTGTCTCTGGTGCCCCTGGCCTCTACCCCAGTTCTTGTATGCATAAATAAATAAATCTTTAAAAAAATAAGCACATGAATATATCCTCAACATCATTATTTAGCAGGAAAATATAAACTTTAACCACAATGATATAGTTCCAATTTACATAATGTTAAACATTTTATACACACACACACACACACACACACACACATCTCCCAGCAAATCCACTCCCAGATATTTAATCAAGAAAAATGAACACACAGGTACTCACAGACTTGTACAGAAACATTCATAGTTGTTTTATTCACAATAACCCAAACTGTCAACAACCCAAATTTTCATCAATAGGTGAATGAATAAAAAAATTGTGATATATCCATACAGTAGACACAGCAACAAAAAGAAGGAACTGATACACAAAGCAATATTGCTGAATTACAAAGATATTACACTAAAGAGAGTCAGCTACAAAAGGAGGGCTTACTATATAATTCTGTCTACATGACACTCTAGGAAGCATAAAATCTCTAGTGGTTGCGTGGGGCCAGAGATGTGATTGTGATAATCAGGAAAGATCACAGGAAAGTTTGTGAAGGAAATATTCTGCATCTTAATCATGATAGTAGACACTGAGGATATAAATTGCCATTAAACTGTATACTTAAAATGTATGATTAGTTGTAAATTTTACTTCAAAAATTTAATTATATTTTTCTATATTAGCAACAAATAATTGAAAATTGAAATTTAAAAAATTCCATTTTAATAGCATCAAACAACATACTACCTAGATACAAATTTAACAAAATATGTGCAAGGCCTATATACTGAAAAGTTAGTTATTTATTTCATTCCATGTGACTACTTGGGAGATTTAAAAACAGAGTGAGAAGTAGAAAGTGTGAATTTTGCTTGGTAGGTGCAATGTCCAACTGATATGAAAAGTATTTTACTTTAATAATATCTTTAAAATTGAAAATAATTTTAAAACTAAGGAAAGGGCTTCCCTGGTGGCACAAGGGGTTAAGATACAACCTATGAAGCTGTCTGCAGCCACTGCAGCACAAGTTTGATCCCCGGCCAGCCAGGGAGCTATACACATGGCAGCAGACCTCTCCTGTCTCTCCCGCTGCTCCCTCAGCAGTGTATTTCAGTAGATCTGCATGTTCTGTTTCCTGCTGTCTCTGGTAAATCCTCTCACCCCCCACACCTCTGGCCTGTAACCCATTTCTTGTATGCATAAATACTAAATCTTTAAAAAAATAAAACTAAGGAAAAAAGGAAATGTTACAGAAAATAATGTTGTGGGCCTCCCTGGTGGCACAGGGGTTAAAGACACAGTGCTATCAAGCTATCACCAGCCACTGCAGCATGACTTT